CTATAAAGCAATGTATTTGCTGTCGGTGAAAAGATAACAACCTATATGATCACCTTCAAAAGCATTAGTTGTGTGATCTTGAACACAAAATTCGTAATTACACTTTGTATTCCGCTTTTGTCTAAACTGTCCAACCACCACTGGCGCATTCACCCTACCTACACAACTATCTGATAATTTCAAGGCCTACCTAGGAGATTTAATTTTTTTGAAATAATCCATGTTTAGCAATGTCATTTTATGCATTTTAGAGTCGCAAATAGAAATTCTATTTATCTGTGCAAAATTCCAATATGGCGTCCATAAGAAAAATAAAGTTGATGCTGCGGGACAAGAGACGAAACGTCATATTGAAATTCTGATTATACCATTTCGAAGTAGAAAAAATGTGGCAATGTTAATGTGTTACTTTGGTCCAATTGAAACGACTTCGTATACCTATCTTGCCCTTTCCAAGACACCAATGGTGAAGGATGAAAGACAAACAAATATACTGGAGGCTTGATAAGTATCAAGGGGTCATTTTCATCCCTATATTTTGTTGATAAGCTATAAGCACATTTAAAAAAAATGCACACCCTGTCGAAATAAGTAAAAATAAAATAAATTAGCACTTACCATTTTTCCGCCATTTATATATCGCGGTATCTGCGAGGTTTTCCTTCATTCTTCCCGTAATCCAAAGGTGTAAGTCACTACAAGCACTCACAAGCACTTATTTCACATTTCACTAGCACATTTTCCTAGGTACGACAGAGTTTTCCCTGTGAAAACTCAGAATTTAGTTCTGCCGAAGAGCCCGTGTAAGGAGTTCGCGGTATCTCTGAAGTTTTCCTTCGTTCTTCCCGCAATCAAAAGTGCAAACCACTACAAAAACTGACAAACACTCAATCTACATGCCACGAACGCACTTTTCCGGGTACGGCCGAATTTTCCCTTTGAAAACACTGAAAATAACGCTCCCGAAAAGCCGGTTTAGAAGGCACGCGACGACCGTTAAAAACAATTGCAACATTGCATACCTTCCAGGCGACAGACGTTTTTCTAGGATTTGAAGTTGGCCGTGGCTCGAACTCAGTTCTGAGAATTCTTCCAGACCTGTTTGTATTAGCAAAGGAAATTGATTTATTTTAATTATAAATTTCTGTACTATCCCAGGTACCTATTGCAGTTACATAAATATGATGTCAAAAATACAGATAAATCATATTGTGATATTCTTCCTTTGTAAAATATTCTGTTTCAATTTCTAAATAACAGATTCTATATCATAGCAATTAAATAAGGGTCACGAAATACTGAAATGCGGTCTTTCAAACAGTGTCAAGTAGGATGACTCTGCATCTTACTTGAAGTTGAATAAAATTTGTTGCTTGTTGGTTTTCGTAGAATTATGTCATAGTCCAGTCATTATTGGTAACGGTATCGATCGAAATGCTGAATCTGCGTTCAAATCAGATTTTAGTTTAGTTGCAAATATAGCTCTTATAAACCTGTTATATTGATTAATGAATAATTTTTGATAGCCGTATATACAAGATTAGCGAAAAATAACATTTCTTAAATATCTACGATGGCTTACTGAATATCAAAAATCTTGCTCTAACGAAATCTTGTAGGACGAATGCGCCAGTAGCCCGGACACTAAAAGTAGTCGGACCAATGTTATATTATTGATAAAAACTTGAATATTTGAAATCTTATACTTGCTGCTAATTGGTATCACATTTATCAACTAATTTGTGGCAGTTTATAAAAATTTCATATTCACAGTTGTCATATTGACATCAGTATTAATGCGTCAGAAACAGCATGCATTCGATTCCTCAATTTTTGTCATTTGTGTAGTGAATAACATAAAGTTTAAAGACAAGTAGAATCGCCAACTGACAGTATACAGAGATTCCAAACAGTGTCAAAGCGCAATATCTTCGTTAGTATTAGTGTTGCAGAGAAAAGTTAAATACAAAGGTTGTAGGCAGAGCTAAGGGCTACAACCTAAATTTATTGTTAGCTATACAGGGTGTCCCACAAATTAGTGGCAATATAAACTTGTATTTTTTTAAATGGAATACCCTGTGTTTCTGTTGATTTTTAGAAGCGCGTTTTCTTGGTCATTTTTTCTATGTATGGTTCCGGGGGTTTGTACTGGGTATTTCGGAATATACGAGCCCCTTCCCACTTCAGTTGGCCCAACTATTGAAATCTTAATTTTTTTGTTATCAAACACAAATAATAAAAATGTAGCAAGGTGTTATTGGTTTAAAATATTAACAATGAATATTTTGATGATATATAGTAGAAAACACCAACTTTATCACTCCCTAATCAAATTTGCAGCATAAAAATAACACATGTTGCAATTACAGCATGTCAACCTATTTTCATTTCAGTGCAAAATAAGTCTATAACGCATAGGTTAGAATACGTTTAAAATAGTTTTGGGTAGTTAAGGTTTTCAAAATGGATAGAGGAAAGGTTATTAGTGAGAAAATTTGGTTACTGATAATTAAATTTTTTAATTCTGGGAAATCAAACTCAGAAATTGCAACTTTGTTAGACTTATCGCGGTACAGTGTGAGAAATATTGTTAGAAGATATAACGTAACTGGTTCAGTTAATATTAAGCCACGATATGTGAAAAAAAGTAATATCACAAATGCCGACCGAAGAGCATTAAGAAGAATAATCGTGAAAGACAGGCGTGTCAATTATTTACAATTAAATGCTCTATGGAGTGACGCTGTTGGAAGGAGAATTTCGAGGTCCACAACTCATAGAGAGGCCCACAAACTGGGATTTAGCGCTTGCAAGGTAAGTTTTCTTATAAAAAAAGTGAAGTAAAAACCCTGAAGTTGCACAACTTCTTTATAGGCCAAAGAAAAGCCACTATTAACTCCACTGCAAAATCGGCTTAGATGGGCTAAAGAACATAGACAATGACACCTCAACAATGGTGTGCAATACAATGGAGTGATGAGGCCCGATTCGAAGTAATGTGTTGGTGACAGTCGCAGTAGAGTTATTAGCAAAAAAAGTGAAGCATTCCATGTTGACTGTCTGAAGAGAAAAGTGAAATTTCCAGCATCCATTATGATCTGGGGCAGTATGTCATCAAAAGGAGTAGGAAAACTTCATTTTATTGATGGAAATGTGGATACAAACAAATATTTGACAATTTTAGAAGAATCGCTTTTACCAGTGGTGGAAGAATGTTTGACATCCGGCCAAGATCTTGTGTTTCAGCAAGGTAGTGCAGCGTGCCATACCTCAAAAAAGGCTATAAAATGGATGGAAGAAAATAATGTACCACTTTTGAAATAGGTTTCTAGCAGTCCAGATCTGTCACCTATTAGAACTTTGTGGCACGAGATGAAAAAGGTTCTACGACAACATCCTGCTCGTACAATCACCGAACTGAGACAAAAGATTCAAGAAATATGGGATTGTTTTACGCCAAATTTTGCCCTGTGCCCCAAAGAATTTCAGCCGTAATATAAAATAAAGGTGATGTTACCCAATGGTAATCTTTCAATTGTTGCTTTGTTAACTTCGCGCATTTATTCGCACATTGTTTATTTGTTCAGATGTTCTATTAGTTATAGATCTAAGTGATTTCAAATATGTATTTTTTACGACTAGAGTGTATCTAAAATGTATTGAGAAAATAAATTGTTTTAGAAGTAAATAGTTTCGTCATGTTTAGTTTATAAAAGCATATGTTGTTACAAATCTTGAAGTGGGCCAACTGAAGTAGGAAGGGGCTCGTATGCCCACTTTTTCGTTAAAACTATTGCACATTTGACTTCCCGTATCTTGAACAACAATTTAGATAAAATCTATTTTGTTATACTGAGGATTAAAACGGTGGTTGAGATTGATATCCAACGTTTCTTCTGTACATATAAATTATTCAAGACATACAGGAGTCGAAACAGAAACATGTATTATTCTCGAAAAATTTAAATTAAACACCTCGTAGTGCTCTTCCAGTATCTATCTCCTTAATTATTGAGCTTATCATTTTAAAACTTCTAGTGTATTTTCAATACACATCAGGCTATATTTTCGAGTAGAAAAATCGGAAACAAAAACGACCGAAATTACCCAAATTTTTATTTGAAATATTTACTTCCGGTTTAGCACCTTTGTCTTTTTTCTTAATTCCAAATTCGATATTTTTATGTAAAGGAACAGAAAATTGCCTATATAAAACACCTTGTTCAATACTCCAATGTAATACTTTTGAATTCGAAAAAATACCAAATTTTAAGTACACTATAACATATGTACGAGGGATGTCTCTTAATGAACAAATAACTGTTACTGCGGATTGATATACCACCATTTGTTTGCCAAAAGTCATCACCGAGCTTCGAAAAATCAACCCCGAAAGAAGAATCATCTTCCACCAAGATAATGCAAGCTCGCACACAGCCCAAAAAACAAGGCAGTATTTAACGGAAGAAAACGTGGAATTATTGGACCATTCTTCATAATAGTCCTAACGATTTCTTTACTTTCCCGAAAATTAAAAACAGGCTGCGTGGTCAAAGGTTCCAGTCACCAGAAGAAGCAGCTGACGCATTCAAAAATGTCGTTTTGGATCTGCCAGCAAACGAGTGGAATAAGTGCTTCGAAAATTGGTTCGAGCGCATGCAGATGTGTATTAATCTTGGTGGAGAATACTTCGAAAAACAATAAAGTCATTTAAAACTACATACATTGTTGTTTTATTTCCATATGCAAAACTTAAAAGACATAGCAAATGAACGTGCCACGAAAAAGATGTGTTTTCTCTTTCATACCTACTAGATGTACAAACATGTGAAACATCACTTTTTCCCAAAGGTATCCCATAACCATTTAGCAAAAAGCCCAGGACAGCTGGACCGTTTTACGTTGGCTGAATAGTCCCAATGTGACATCTATCATATTTCTCCTAAGAAAGGTTATTAAAGATTTCCACTGCCTAAAAATCGTCTAATGTTGTTTTTCAGACTAGCACAAAGAAGGTAATAGCGATAAGACGGGAAGATCAAAGCGTTTGGGAAAGGAGAGCTTCTTTCTCACCATCACACGTCAAAAAGTTAGTCAGAAATGGTGTCAAGGTTATTGTGCAACCAAGTAACAGAAGGGCATACCCTATGCAGGCCTATCTCAATGCCGGGGCCATCGTCCAAGAAGATATTTCCGAAGCTAACGTCATTTTCGGGGTTAAACAGGTGAGGCAAGAACGGCGCTGTTTGTTTAAAGTCTATGAATCATTGCAAATGATACTACTGATATTAGACGAAAATACACCTAGTTTGCGAAATAATTGTAAAGTCTGGTTTTATTGCTGCAAGTTGTTCAGGGGGTGTTCAAAACATGGACGCATAAAATGGGTACTCCAATTTTTGTGGAAAAACTTTATATTCGACAACAAAGAATAAGAAAACGTGTTTTTTTGGGATTCAATCGAAAGTGTTGGCAGGAACGAAAAAACTCATAAGTATAAGATTTTTAGGTAATAATCATAATAATAATAATCTATATTCCAAATTGTACAATGACATTACAAAAATTGTATAGCCACTAGAAAATTAAATGTTGCGTCACTATCACTGTAACTATAGTAGTTTACCTGAGATCTTTTTTTTGTGTTACATGGTTATTTATCTTAAAACAGCTACAATCTGAAACTATTTCAACTCATAGAACTCATCTATTGTATGGGCTCAGACTGTACTAGAAATTGCTTAATAGTCTTTTTAAATTTATGTAAAGCGTTTATGTTTTTAATTTCATTTGGTAGATTGTTGAAAAATTTTAAACACATGTAAATAGGGCTTTTTTCTGTGGAGGATTATCTATGTATTGGATAATTCACATTGACTGTTCGAGTATCATAAACAGTTTGCACCTCAAGCTCAAATAAATTTTTATTTTTGAAAAAAAAATATAAGACACTCATTCACATACATGGCATACACAGTCATGATTTTTTCAGTTTTAAATACCCCCCTGCAAGTTTCATTGAAATTTAGTCCCTTTAGCAGACGTACTGCTCTTTTTTGAACAACAAATTTTTTTTTAGTAAACCTATTGCGTCCCCAAAAAATAACTTTCAAAATTAGCATGGTACAATATTTTCATACACGTATTATTTAGATATCTTGATATCACCCTAAAACCATAGCAAATGGAATTGAGCCTCTTCAGCAATTCGAATACATGTGTTGTCCAATCTAAAAATTCATCAATATAGATGCCTAAGAATTTTAAGGTATTTATGAGACTTACAAAATGAGACCACACGAAAAGGATGCGACTAATAACAAAAATGATACGGTCTAAAAACGAGGCAAACTGTAGGTTTTGGCACTTGTTGGTAATGCGACGATGGTTTCTAGCAGATATTTAAAATTCTGCAAGTTCGTAGGATTCATACTTCTAAATAACCACAACAAAATTGGAGTAGATTGGTCAAGCAGTTTTTGACAATTTCTAATTATACTAAGTGACATATAAATCCGAACACCCAGTTTAAATGGTTTTATTTTAATAAAATTTTGTATAAGTACTTAATGAAGCATAATAAGTAAATGATAAAAATTTCAAAATGATTGCACTGCTTTAAGCCCTTTGACCTTTAATAATGTGTGGATGCACTCTGATGTGCTACGCATTCTCCAACGCGCCTAGGCATGCTTCTGATCAGGTGGTCAATGTCCTCCTGTGGTATCTCATTCCAGGCAACCACCAACTCCTCTCGAAGTGCTTCTAGAGTCTGAGGAGGACGTTGCAAATTGAGCAATCTCCTACCCATCATATCCCACACGCGCTCAGTTGGGGATAAGTCGGGAGATCTTGGTGGCCATGGTAACAATGTGACATCATTATGTTGAAAGAAGTCTATTGTGACTCTTGCAACATGTGGTCGGGCATTATCTTGTTGGAAAGTTGGATCTGCCAGGGTGTCAAGGTCCTAGAACTTCGTGGATATAACGCTGCGTGTTCATGTTACCTCTGATGAAGATTAAAGGTGACCTGGAACCATAAGCTATAGCACCCCAAACCATAACTCCAACAGTGTGATGAACATGTCTTTCAACAAAAAACTGTGGATTCCTCCTTTCACCACGTCGCCTTCTAACCCTGGCACGACCATCGTGCATGCCTAAACAAAATCGAGACTCGTCACTAAAGACAATACTGTTCCATTCCTGATCCCAGAGTGACCGTTGTCTGCACCACTCAGGGCGATTACGTCGGTGGTCTCGAGTTAAAGGGAGGACCCAGTGTGGCCGGTATGAAAACAAGCCAAAACTTCTCATTCGTCGGTAAAAACTTCGCATGCCAATAGGTCTTCCGTGTTCTGCAAACCATTCATTTGCAATGGACCTGGTAGTGGAGAAACGGTCCCTTAAGGCCAATAATCTTAGGCGGCGATCTTCACGGTATGTTGTTCTACGGCGGCGTCCAGTGCCCCTTGCTCCTTGCGTACGGCCTTCTCGAAGCCATGCCTGACAACACCTAACCACACTGTCTACACTTCTTTGCACTCTAACTGCAATTGCCCGAAAAGAAAGTCCAGCTTCCCGAAGTCAATCGTACAGGTCTCCGTACTCTAGGCATCGTAACCGATCGTAAAGGATGTCAAGAACCAAAATCCGCCAACGTTGATTTTTTACTGCGGCTGAAATATTCATTTTTAGAGCGTTAGTGAATTAAAAAAAAGCAGTATAAAAACCGGAATGTCCAACTGATAAGGCTGAAAATTTCTTCACTTGTTATTTACAGTAAGATAAATACATTCACCAACTTTCATTAAAATAAAACCATTTAAACTGGGTGTTCGGATTTATATGTCACTTAGTATATGTATCCCAAAAAACCTGTTTTCCGGCCATCACTACTAGTTTATTGAGCGATATACAGGGTTAGTTCAAAGGACATTTTATGGCAAAATAAACTAGTTTACCTTGCCGATATGAATCGCAAACCATTCCGGAAGATAAATGTTATTTATACTCAAAAAAGGATGGGTTACGTTTTTTTCTTTTAAACAAATTCAAACATTTCGTATTTGTGAATAATTCGCAATTAAAGATGATAGACACATCCGTCTTGTTTTAAAATGTGTATAGTAGCGTATGTTTTTCGAATATCGTAGCGCATTTGTTCAATTACTCACAAATACGAAATGTTTTAATTTGTTTATAAGAAAAAAAACGTAACTTTTGTTTTTCGCATAAAAATAACCTTTCGGAATGATTTGTGATTCATATCGGCAATGTAAACTCGTGTATTCTGCTACAAAATGCTCTTTGAGCGAACCCTGCTCAATAAACTAGTAGTCGGAAAACAGGAGTTTTGGGATACACAATTAGAAATTCTCAAAAAACCAGTTGACCAATATAATCCAATTTTGTTGTTATTTAAAAGTATGAATCCTACGGATTTGAAGAATTTCAAGTAGTTTCATGAAATTATCGTCGGATTACCAACAAGTTCCAAAACCTGCCTTTTGCCTCGTTTTTCAACCATAACATTTTTGCTATTAGTCGGATCTTTTCACGTGTGGTCTCATTTTGTAGGTCATATAAATACCTAAAAAAAGTTTTGCCGTTCCTGTCAATACTTCGATTGAATAAAAAAAACACGTTTTCTCATTCTTTGTTGTCGAATAAAAAGTTTTCCCATAAAAATTGGTGTACCCATTTTATGCAGTCCATATTTTAAATACTCCCATGAACAACTTGCACTAATAAAACCAGACTTTACAATTATTTCGGAGAAATTTGCTAACATGATGTATATCTGAAATTGATGTGTAATCAACACATATAATTAAATGCTATTTAAAGAGGGGATTTTCGCATATCAGTAGGAAGTTCAGCTATCTAAGTTTTCTGATCCTACCAACTATGGTCAAGTGAGACCGATCAGTTTACTTGCTATTTTCTCAGAAGTATTGGAAAGCGTTGTTTACGAGCAGCTCTGCGCCTCCTTATATTCTAACAAAATTATTCTATCTAAACAATCCGGATTTCAACCAGGTCATAATACAGCTTCGGCACTCTGTGTTTTAACAGACAATATAACAATGGCGCTTGATAACTAAAAATCAGTAGCTCTCACACTTCATGACTTTACCAAAGCATTTGATACCTTTAATCATTAACTTCTTGTGTCTAAATGCTGTTATTATGGATTTTCTGAAAAACCTCTTCCGTTTATTCAAACCTACCTGGAAAATCGGTTTCAAAAGCTTCGTTTAAATGCACAGTACTCTACGGCACAAAAAATTTGTTCTGGTGTGCCACAGGGATCTGTTTCAGGGCCCCTGTTATTTTCATTATATATGTAGCTGAGATTTAGAAACAGAGGTAAAATCATGCAGCATACAATTTTTTGCTGAAGATACTCAAATTTTCTATTCATTTAGGGGTAATTACTTGGAAACAGCTAATAATAATATTAACCAAGATCTTGCCCAAATTGAAAAGTTTAGTAGTAGTCTTTGTTTGAACCCTTTGAATCTGTTGGTATACGCAAATAAAACAAAAAAGAGTGCTTTAAAAAAGGACATAAACAAATTTAAAAGGTAATAAAATAGTATCTGTGGATCAATCGAAGAATCTAGGTGTTATAATGGATGATGACTTAAAATTTGTTAAACACGAAAACTAACTAATTTCTCAGTGCTACGCTATTTTCAGAGTTTTATTTGCAAATAAGACTATATTGCATAAATCTGCGAGAAAACAATTGAGTGAACCTTTCTTGTTTTCAAAAATATTATAGTGCTTCGTGGTTTACTATCCCTATTTAGGTATTAGAACAAGAAATCGCATTCGAAGTATTATGATTACATGTTGCAGACTTGTAAATGATCTCAGAAAATATGATAATATATCGGTCATTGATGACCTCAAATATATAAAAATTGATAAAATGTATAATTACCAGCTCCTAAGTCTGACTTATAAGGTTCTTTATTCAAAAACACCGTCATATTTAGTAAGCAAATTCATACATAGAGGAAATATGCATGTCATTAATATTACATATAGAGATAATTTTTTATTCCACACCACAGCACATCTCTGTTTGAGAATCAACTCATTTACAATGCGATCGAATTATACAATCACTTCGATCGTAGTTTAAAAGAAACTAATTCATTACCTAAATTCAAGAAAAAGGCGAAAGAAATTCCACTTGATCAGCAGCGAAATCTGTTGTAACCCATAAGTTTTATTTTGTCGTCATTGTATGCAGGTATTAATTTTCAACAAGCGTTAAACCCAGAAAAAAATAGTTTCTTCAACTTGATTTTTTAGCAATGAGGTAGTCTTACATCAAGAATAAAACGATGACATACTCACGAAATTTTATTGACAACTTATAAGAATAAAAAATTAATAATATGTTGGGCGAAGCCTGAATACACTCCTGTAAATGTGTAGGCTTCGACAAAATGAGATGATCGATGTCTAGTTGTGGCATCTCATTCCAAGCAACTCTAATTTCGTGGATTAGCTGTGGCATTTCCCACACATGTTCGATGGGACTTGAATCCGGTGAAATACGGCAAAACATTAACGCCTGCTTCTTGAAGAAAATGCGTAGTACGACGTGCAATATGGATACGTGCGTTGACTTGCTGAAAAAGGGCGTGTGGATGGCTCTCTAGATACGGAAGTAAAGTGGTTTGTATGACATCATCAACATAATGCGCAGCAGTCATATTGCCTTGAACAAAGAGAAGGAGTGATCAGCTACCATAGGCAAGAGCTCCCCAAATCATTACTCCAACATTACTCCATTACTCTAAATGCATCTCAACAACAAATCCAATATCACGGCGTCCTCCACGGTGGCGTCTTACCCTTTCACGTCCATCGTGCGTACCTAGACAGAATTGCAATTCGTAGCTGAAGATGCCATTATGCCATTCTGCCTCCCAATGTTGGCGTTCTCTGTTCCAGTTCAAATGTTGACGACAGTGGTCCGCAGTCAGAGAAAGCACTAACTGTGGACGGTATAAAAAAATGTCCAAAGACTCGAATACGGCGATAGAGTGTGCGCATAGTAACAGGTCTTCCTTCTCCGAACCATTGGTCAGCGATCTGACGCATAGTAGCAAAACGGTTTCGTAGAGCTAGTCTGAAGCGTCTATCTTGATGCTCTGTGGTACACCTTGGTGGACCAGTGGGCCTTCTTCTTATTCCTCTACCTTCTTCTATCCACACACGACATACACGCATTACTGTCATTACAGTACATCTAACACGGTGGCTAATTATGTTGCCAAAAAAAAACAAGTTGATGAAGTTATTTTTTCTGGGTGTAACACTTCTAATGTCACTGAGTATACAACTCATACTGTTAAGGGGGTTAGGTAGTAAAATAGATACAGTATCGACATCTCGCCTTCTGTCATATTATTACAAATAAAGCCGTTAATTATTATCATTATTATAATTAAATGCAAACGATGTTTTCTGCATTAATGTCAAAATGTGGAAAATCGTCTTCACGTTAAAACACAGACGCTAGTATCGCACCGTTAGTAACGACGAAATATTTAACAATTACAGCAGACGCTCGATAACGTAAACACGGGATAATGAAAACTTGCGCTAATGCAAACACAAACTTCGTTCTATAGGATCAAACGGAACGCGCGATAACGTAAACAATGTGTACGCTCGATAACGTAAACAACTCTCGGCGCACGGAAACAGCGCGACGGTAAAATGCTGAAGCCTCGATGATTTATGTCGGGCGTCGGGGAGTCCCCGATTTATGATGTAGAGTGTAGAGGATTCACCTCTGCGATAAAATACGACAAACTCGGTCAGTCGTATGATCGTTTAGGATACGTTTATACGTACGTAAGTATTTCATTTTTGAACTTAAGTGAATACATTGTATGCGTTAATATATTTTACGATTATGGCATCCACATCCTATAAAAGAAAGTGTTTAAAGTTGAGTGAGAAAGTGAAAATCATAGACGAAGTTGCACTAGGTGCGGGAGTGACACAGTTAGCAAAAAAATATGGAGTGTCGAAAGAAGAAATTTTACAAAGAACGTGCAATACATTTGGAGGTCCGGGAAAAAGAAAAACTTTAAAAAATGCGAAGGCACCTAAAATGGAAAATTCCCTGTATAAGTGGTTTTTGAAACAACGGGAAAATCATGTCCCAGTTAGTGGCGAAGTACTTAAACAGAGAGCGAGACTGTTAAATGAAAAACTGAAAGAAACTGAAAATTTCGTAGCTAGTGATGGCTGGCTACAACGATTCAAAACAAGATATGGAATTCCACTGCTATCTATATCTGGTGAAAAATTATCAGCACAACCACAAGTAGTGCAACCATTCAAAGAAAAATTAATGAAAATAATTACCGAGCTAGACTTAAGAATGGAACAAATTTACATCGCAGATGAAAGTGGCCTTTATTGGAAAATGTTACCAGAGAAAACCTATGCTGCATCATTTGAAAAATCTGCCCCGGGAAGAAAGCCGAAGAAACAACGAATAACGTTTCTAGCCTGCACTAATGCTAATGGTTCACACAAAATAAAGCCACTGGTAATTGGGAAAGCAAAAAATCCGCGCTCATTTAAAAATGTTAATATCCCTGTTGATTATGACTGTTCAAAAACCGCTTGGATGACTAGCAGTATATTCCTGAAATGGTTCCACAGGTGCTTTGTCCCTCAGGTATGACAATCAATTATCACAAATGCTCTATTCATAATTTGAAGATGTGTTTTCAATTTGTAGGTAAAAGGTTTCCTAAAACAACAGAAGCTTCCAATAAAAGCGTTGTTACTATTGGATAATGCACCAAGTCATCCTCCCGAGCAACAACTGAGGAGCAGGGATGGGTCAATTTTCGTCATGTACGCCGCCCAACGTAACACCGTTAATTCAACCGATGGACCAGAATATAATAAGACTCACCAAACTATACTATAGGAAGTTTCTACTTTCGTCTGTCTTATCAAAGAATCCCGAAAACTTATCTGAGGCTTTAAAAAAGTAACATTACGAGAAGCTGTTTTAGATTTACATATGGCCTGGAATGAACTTAACCAGCAAACTATTCAAAAATGTTGGAACAATCTCTTTTGTACCAATAATGAAGATGATGAAGAAGACGATGTCCCCTTAAGCGTAATTAGAGAACGTTTGCGATGATAATGTTATTAGTGTGTCATTGGATGTTGTTGATTTATTGAAAACAGTGAATCCCAACATTGTTTGTACTCCTGCTGATATTAATTTATGGAACGAAGATAAGCAGACGGATGATGCTGATAAGGAGGAGGTATATGGACAGTGAGGATGATGAGAACGATCCCATTGAAGTCAGAAGTGTAGTGACTGACGCGCAAGCTATACAAGTTTTTAATCAAGCTTTAGACTGGGCTGAAAGAAAAGAAGTTTCATACACGGATATTTTAGTTCTTCGTAAATTACGGGCGCAGGCATTGGAAGACAATGCTAAGCGCAAATTTACGCAGACAAAAATTGTTAATTATTTTTCTTCTAATTAAAAAAATACTTATCGCTGTTAGAATATTTGTTTATTTTGTTATAAATAGTATGTATTGAACGTTTCTTTTAATATATCAAATATTATATAAATCACGTTCGCTAATGTAAACATTTCGATAATGTGAACCACACTTGGATTAAATTAGTTTAAATTATCGAGCGTCTGCTGTATTTGTTTGTGCTATGTTTGTTTGTATGTATGCTAACTGGGTTCTAGACCATAGCAAACTTTTGTCTAAGTGCATATGAAAAAAAACATAAATGTTTTTTGAAGGTACCTCTGGAGCACCTGATACCCGAGAAAACATATTGCATATTTTCACACACGATTAAGGCGCAAGAGGGAAATATGCCTATGTTAGATGCGATATTGGAAAAAAGAATTAGACTTATTGATTACGAGAAGCTGATGGATGAGAAAGGTATTTATTTTTATAATTTCTTGGAACAATGGACAAGTTTATTATTTTTTTGTCATTAGTCCAAATGGAATTTCAAGAAAAATGAAACGAGATGGTGAAAAAATTATTAATTTATCTTTAAAAACAAAAAAGTTACAGCGTATCAAATTTGCGCCACGCGAGAATATTTTTATTCCGTCTGAACGCGTCCCGTGACGACACACTTCACTATCCACTTGCGACGGCCGTGTCCTACTCTTGGGCTCGGCCCGACTCAATTTCCTAAACACACAATAGTTTCAATTTTTTCCTCACAAGTCAGAGCAATGTACAGTGGTCAGGCGTAGTTTTCACTTTATGTTCAGATGTAACTCTGCATTTAATGCTCGGCACTAGTGAAGTGTGACGTCAGACGCGAACTGACGGCAGCAATGATTGAAATTTAAGAATTAATTTCTCTGTCATTTATTGACCGATTTCAATATTTTTTTCGCTGGTTGATTATATTTCATCTATATATCATATTTTGCTGGTATGTCATTACTTATGCGACTTTGAAGATCAAGAAACTTCTCCATTGCTTACTCCAATTTAATCAGATGACGGAGACCATTTAAGATGTCACAATTTATATTTCTTTTTAGTGTGCAACATGAGATTAAAAGAATAAATTCTAATGTTGGTTTGATCATGTATCGCCTGGTGATCTTAAAATTCGTAATAAACAATTTCTAAAAACGCCCCACTTTTAGGAAACCGTGTAGTTGCTTTCGGTAAGATGGCAGGAATAGCCGGCATTGTCAACATTCTGCATGGACTTGGGCTTAGACTACTGGCTCTAGGACATCACACACCTTTCATGCATATTGGACCCCCGCATAATTATAGGTAAATATATTCATTAAAAATAAAAACTTACATTTGCGGCCATACAAAATTCAGTTAACCCAAGAACTACAGCCTAGCGACCATGACAGTCGCCGACAGTACAGTCATGCCATGAATTGAATTCTTGAAACCAAATGGATTGATACGAACTTTTCTTCCAAAAGACTTGGCTTTTAAAGGGATAACAGCAACCATATAATGCGAATTTTAATTGTAGGAACTCCAGCATGGCTCGACAAGCAGTTAGAGATGCAGGCTACGAGATTGCACTAGGTTTAATGCCCAAATCCATTGGACCATTAACATTTGTATTCACTGGATCTGGAAATGTATCTCAAGGTTCCCAGGAAGTATTCCAGGAGCTGCCTCACGAATACGTTCCACCTGAGTTGCTAAAAAAAGCTGCAGAGCATGGCAGCTTGAATAAGGTGTACGGCTGTGAGGTAAGGCCTGTTAAAAGAGAAATATGCATAAGGTAATGACTCATGGAACGTGCTTTTCAGGTGAGGAGAAGGCATTACTTGGAAAGGAAAGAAGGTGGTGGATTCGATTCTGCTGAATATGAAGAACATCCAGAAAGGTAATTTTTCAAACCTATAATAGACAAATGTCGTAAATGACATCTAGGATTTAAAACTATCCCCGATTTTAGAACATTGTCTCTAATAATGAAACCTAGCAGTGACTGTCTTCCCAAAGCTTGGCACGAAAGACGCGCGTCTTATATGAATAAGTCAATAAGCAATTTTATTCATCACGTCTTCTATAGCCAATAATTGAAATCGCAGACGCTAAATGGATTATTCACTATCTATACCCTATTCGTAGTCCATGTATGCCCCGGCACAACAAAGATGCAACGCGACAAAGCTATTGGTCATTCGACCATAAAACTACGAACAAATGCAGGATTCGACAGGATAGTACTCAGCCTCGGGATATCAGTAAAGAAATGCCGCGGCAAGGGCACAATACAATTAAATCAGCAAGACAATCCTTCTTAGATGGACTAACCACTGGCCTAAAAAACCCGTCAGGTACGTGTATCTAAGCAATTCTTCATTTGTGCTGTAAAAATGTTGTCAAGTAGACTGAATCTATGAGCCCACGCCTACTTAGCTACACCTGTTAGACACTCTGCTCGCATTATTATTGGTTTTCTTGAATACTATACGAAATAATTACTCCTAGGAAAAGAAAAACAATTTGTTATCTGCCACATTGGCATTGAAGATGGCTTTGTGCCCACTGCCCTATGGGAATTTGAGTCAAAGAAAACGACCGACTACCATTATGATATGGACGGGAGTTCATGTGAACGATGGTATGAAGAAACGCTCCCAATGCTGCATACCACACTAGAAAACTAGAAAAAATTCCCACAACATCCACAAGAAAGGCTACCCGCTTATAACTGCGAATTAAATCCCATTGAAATGATTTGGGCAAATATAAGAAACTATGTGACTTCAAGCGTTAGAACATTCAAATTTTCTGACGTGAAAAATTTGTTTTATGAACCTGTCAACAGAGTGACGGCAAACCATTGAAAATATTGCATCCGTCACGTTCAAGAGACAATCGAAACAAAGATGTGGGATCTGGACAATATGATCGATATTCAAATTGTTACCCGTAATAATTAATATTAACCATTCGGACGATGATTCAAGTACGAATAAATAATTGTGAAAAGTATGTGCACTTCTTTCTATACAAATAATAATTCATTTTGTTAGATTATTTCAAGACTATTGAGGAAAATACAGACCTGCACAATCTCGCTTTTGGGCATGTTGTGTCTGGGCGTAAATGAACTACGAATGGGGTATAGACAAAAATGCAGTGTTAATAGTTGAAACAAGTTGTATGTTGTTTGAAATTTGATGACCATGTGGATGATCGATATGCTGTTCCCATTATCTATAAGCTGTTTTGATTCACGACATTTCGATTGATGTGTGTCTTTGCCGTAGCTCAGCTACATTTTGAATCGGCTTGAAATACATTTTTTCTTTTACAATTCCCCAGTAAAAAAAATCTAACGGATTCAAATCTGGGGACCGGGCAGGCCACGGTATTGTACCAGACCGCCCTATCCATCTGCCTGGAAAGTTTTGATCGAGGTACTCTCTCACTGAGAGTGCATAGTGCGCTGGGCAGCCATCATGCTGAAACCACATGTCCCTGTAAATATATACTCAGTGGCACGTCCTCCAATAAATTTTCTAAATGATTTTGCAAAAAAAGTAAACGAAGGAGTACTGATCGGTATCAAAGTGTGCAATAGCAAGTAAGTGATGTGCTTCATCCATACCACGTACAGCGTGTTCAAGCTCTTCTGCCCCGGTATTATGAGCCCCGAGTTGCTTTTTGTCGCACAATGTTAGAAAGACACAGGGAAGATCCACAATTCTTTGAAAAAATTTTATGGTCAGATGAGACCACATTTAAGAACGTGCATAACTTACACGAGTGGCAAACCCACATTTGATGAGAGAAGATAAATCTCAATATCGCTTCAAGATAAATCATTGGACAGGAATTTTAAATGGTAAAATAATCGGTCCGTTTGAGTTCCCACAGACTTTGACTGCTGAAGTTTATTTGGATTTTTTGAAAAATCATGTACAAAATTAATTGGTGGACGTGCCACTGAGTATTTACAGGGACATGTGGTTTCAGCATGATGGCTGCCCAGCGCACTATGCACTCTCAGTGAGAGAGTATCTCGATCAAAACTTTCCAGGCAGATGGATAAGGCGGTCTGGTACAATACCGTGGCCAGCCCGATCACCTGATTTGAATCCTTTAGATTTTTTTACTGGGGAACTGTAAAAGAAAAGGTGTATTTCAAGCCGATTCAAAATGTAGCTGAGCTACGGCAAAGACTATTGGAAGCAGCTGAGTTTGTTAATAACCGTGGATTCGCTCGTTTAATAACCCGATCTTTTTTAAGAAGATGTCGAGCATGTATTGCGGCTGAAGGAAAACAGTTTGAGCATTTGCTGTAAAGGTAAATCATAATCAGCAGCATTTTGACGCCCACTGTTGTGCAAACAGTTATCCTTAAGGGTCCTTGTGCGTTTTCATAATCGCTGTTTAATTAGGAAATTTTGAAAAATTTTCATCAGTTTTTCTTCAAATAAAAATTGTGCATAAGTTAACGAGTAATCTTCTAAGTGTTATACCATTTCGGTATCCTTATTAAATGCGCCAACTTTTAAGGTTACTTGCTAAACTCTCGTAGTACATTTTTCCAGTACAGCCAGTTAAAGTTGAGCAAAGTTTTACTTTGGAATACTTGGTTGGGAAATAAGTGGCAATTTTTCCTGAACGAGAAAAGTTGGCAGTAAGGTTCAGACGCCAGTTTGCAGATGCATTATTCATCATTACATTGTAAAAATAAAATCCAAAAGAACTTAATATTTGTAGTAACAGGAGTTGACAGACTGCCGTAGGGTGTGAAATTTCTATATTTTTTTCAAAGACCTATAATTTTCAAAACACATACATAAAATTTTTTTAAATATTTTTCTGATAGCTGTTATGACTTTGCCTATCACCCGGTCTCGGCTTGACGTCGACTTCTGGGACACCCTGTATATATATATATATATAGGTGAAAAATTAAAGCTTCCGCTTTTTTGTTGGGTACTTCGACAAGATTTAAGCAAAGAGGACTCTTTATACTTTTTTAATTCTCTCTAGCTTTCAATGGACTTTGCCATCATCATCAGGAGCTGCAATTACAATGATAACAGTAGCAACAAAGGTGTAAAATGAATTTAAATTGACTCGACTTACAGTAGTATGTGAGAATGTTGCTAATTGTTGTTTACGCATATGATGAGGGAAACGTCCAGTAACATGGTGAGAGCTGAATAGGTTGCACAATAGTCAAAATTTATACAAAACATGACAAGAACACGTTAAAACAGATTAAAGATTATTTTAAAAATTAGAACATTACATCGTGAAAACCACCTGATGATTGCACAAATTAGTGGTCATGGAATGATGAATTGATGAGTGACATGAAACCCTTTGACAGAAGGCCGAAGGATGTCAATGTCAGTATTGAAAGATGGAACGAATTGTGGGCGTGTGCCAAAAACGTTGCCAAATCACTTCAGATGAAGAGATTTACAGAATTTTATGATGGAATTTGTTAAACCGACCAGAGGCAGTTGAATAAACTATATTATTATTAATGGGAATTTAAATTAACAATTATTAATAAATCGTGAGGAGAGAATTATTATATTTTGAGTGGAATGAAATTTACTGGTGGAAACGGCCAAAACACAGATTCTAATTATGGTTGTGAAGAGTTGAAATTTGGGGAGATATGTAAGTTCTCCAATTTTTCGCAGTTTAGCAGATATGAGTAAATGACACTCAGTTGTTTAACATCTGTCTTTTTGTTGATACAGTTGTTATTCATGAAAATGTGGGACATTTCCAGGAATAAACGTTTGGAAAGGTGTTTTTCTTTATCAAGAACTTTGATACTTGTGTAATTCATAGAATGCCCTGTTGTGTTAACATGAGATGCTAGAGCGCATCTTTCAGGATGAAGCCTAGCATCACTTTTGTGTGATGTAATCCTTCCTTTAAGAGATCTGGAGGTCTGACCTATGTATATTTGGTTGCAGTTGTTGCAATTGATGGAGTAGACTGTGTTGGTTAAGCCAAGCAGCGGGACTTTGTCTTTCATTTTGAAAAAATGCAGTTTATAGTGAGGACGGATTTGCAAGCAATTCGAAAGTTCAAAGGACTGCACAATCTGATAAGCTTAGGGGTCAGTTCCTTGATGTAGGGCAGGACAGCAAAACCAGGTCTGGAGTCCGGGTTGGTGCTAGTACTGTTAGGATTGATGTTATTATTGGGAATTACATCAGTTCCGTTATTGGGGGTTGTGCGACTATTACCTGCATCACCAGAGTTCGGCAAAATATTGGAAGGTGAACTAAAAATGATCTTGTTAATCAGACACTTCGGATAACCATTATTGATGAACAGTTTTGATAGTTTACGTAAATTTGAGGTGTGGAAGGTATTATCTGAGATGCTGATTACCCTTGTTTTCATCTGTTTTACCAAATTGATTTTAATCCCTAGTTTATGGTATGACCTAAAATTGAGAAACCGACCTGAGGCCATAGGTTTCTGGTACCAGTCTACCAATAAACTGTTGTTGTTGGTGCGAATGAGTCTTGTGTCTAGAAAGGGGACAGACAGGTTCTCATCTTCTTTTTCAATGGTAAATTGGATGTAGGGGTCATAGCTGTTGAATTCTCTGACAATACCATCCAGACCTATGGAAGGGAGGCATAAAATAATGTCATCTACGTATTTTTTTATGAAGAAGAGGTTATAGGGTAGTGTCGGAATAACTGTATCAAGCAGATCATCCATGACATATTCCGCCAAAATTGGTGACAGAACAGATCCCATAGGACAACCATGTGTTTGAGAATATATTTTGTTGTTGAAAGAGAAATAATTATTATGAAAAAAGGAATGTTATAATGTTGGTGAAAGATTCTAGAGATATGTTGCAGTGTTGACTTATCT